GCACTATTACAACCCAGAGGGGGTGAGATGGGGTCAAGAAATTTTTTTCGCTGAAACTTCTCTTATGGGGTTATCGAGGGTCCTGATCACGAATATGAGATCCATTTTTGGCGCTGGCGCCAAATTGGCGCCATTTGGCCCAGAGCGCCCTGAATGAGTCTCACCAAATTCGCTGTAAACTTTATAGAGGTTAATTAAGGCCCTGATTATGGCCTTTGGTTTTTGTCGCTCGCGCTGTTTTAACGCATATTTTGCTCCCATGAACTCACTCACTGAAAGCACCTACGACTAAGCCTAGGGAAAGGAGGGAAGGAGATTGCGGTGCAGTGGGTGTAAGCATCGTGTGAAGTGTGTGAGATCACAGAGTGAGTGGCTTACTCACTTTGGAGCCCTCCACTATTCAAAGGCTTAGTCCTGATTGCGATCTAATTAGTGCGAGGGCGCAGACGAGCAGGAAATAGGCGCCGAATAGCGCCAACAACAAAAACGAATGTCATATTCGTAATCAGGACCCCAAATAACCCTATACAGAAGTTTACAGCGAATTTTGTGAGAGCCGGTTAGGTAGCGCCAATTCGGCGCCAGCGCCAGTAATGTGTCTCATATTCGTGGTCAGCAGGACCCTCGATAAGAGTTTCAGCAAAAAAAACTTGACTCATATCACCCCCCCCCTGGGGTTGTAATATTGTGCAATAGTGCCCAAGTAAGACAAGTAGACGAATAACATGAAGTGCATCGGGAGACGGTCAAGAGTCCCCCGCGACCACTCGTAAAGTCTCGGGATCACGCTACGTAGCTCGTGATCGTTCAAAAAAAATTGAAGCAACTTCAACAAAAAAGGACTTTTGCCGTCCACTACAGCAAACGGTTATTTTCCATTGCCGCTTCGGAGGTCAGATGGTTAAAGCATATTTCAGTTGCGTGTGCTGTGGACGTCAAAAGCTTTTCTTGTCATAGTTGTTCCAATAAAAACACGCAGCTTAACGTACGCATTGTTTCTAACTTATTTCTAATACTCTTTCATTCATGTTTTATAACAGTAAAAAGAAAGCAAGGAACGAATTGAACCGACATTTCTCATGTCTTTAGAAACCTCTGCTAAACCAAACCATAGTAGGTAATGCGCAATGTGGCCCCGGGGTAAGTTCGTAAGATTGCGTTAGTTCCACGGAAACGCTCAGTTTTAGGAATGGGCCCTGAAGGAGGAGAAGAGAAAATCCGAAGTGCGTACAGTTCTTATTTTCTTCAGAACTCGCCCCTCCATTAGACTTATTCCTGGTGGCCTTTCCACAGAATGCCGCCGTGGAGGGGCCGTAGGTAATTCTGTGAACCATGTCGTTTATAATTATGTTAACATACAGACTGCAGAATGAACAACAAATTGATGTGAACATGCGTAAGCTCAAAAAACTGGATGAAATTGAGCCGCACGCAAGCACGCCGCAGGCTCAAGTGATGCTGCGTACAGTCCACATCTCGAAGTCTGATTGGGCGTGTCACCGGAAATGACGTGGCAGCCACCGCACTTGATAGAAGTTGCGCGGATAAGCTGCTTCCAACACGCTTTGCTGATATCTGGCGGAGTATTTTATCCACACGACATCTATCAAGTGCGGTGGCCCGCCACGTCATTTCCGGGGGAGACGGTCAAGAGTCCCCCGCGACCGCCGCGCCAAAACTAGGTCACCGCGCGCGACGTCGCCGGTGTTTCTGCAATTTGCCGAGTTCAGGACCCCTCTCCAGACGATCGATACAACGCTTTCCTGTTCCCTCTGTGTAGGCCCCATTCCTGCATTTGTTTCAGCTTAGTCCTAGCAACTTGATACGTTTCAAGCTGGATATGGTAGATAGCCGCCGCGTGCGGTGACCTACTTTCGCTTGCGCGGCGACCTCAGGGGGACTCTTGTCTCGCACCCCATTTCCGGTGACACGCCCAATCACACTTCGAGATATGAACGGTAGCACCCTCACACACTGTCACTCGGCATCCTGAACACACCTAAATAACTCACAATATCTTTCTACTAGCATGTCTCATTTCTTGTAGCTCTCGGAGCGCTGTTACGGCTGCCTGCAGAGCGTCCAGTGAGGATATATTGTAAAGGGGGGGGGGGGAGTGGGAAAATGTAGGCCGGTCCTTTCTCGTTCGCACTTAAGTAATCTCGAACTTACATTAGATGCAAAAAATAAAGATCATAATGTGTCTGTTCATTTGCAGTTAGTCAAAATACCAGTAAAATGGGATACTGAATTAGGTTTACCTGTTTCCAACGTGAAAAACCATGCATTAAATAAAGAAATCATTTCGGTGGAGGGCTGAACGTCTAAATTTTGAATAGAGGTAGAGGTAATTGATCATGGGATTCGCAAAAGAAAGCGCACGTGATCAATCAGAACCCTTTCGAGACAACTTCAATAAAATTACATTCCTTTTCAAGCCTTTGCAGAAAAATCAGAAGAATGTCTTGATGAGTAGTTCATGTGCCGTTCCTTTTTTCGCTTTTCCTTGTTGAATTTCACTTTTTTGATGTCTTGGCACAAACAGAATTCTCCAACTACTACTTCTTTTTTCACTTTACTGACCTCTTGAAGCGGCTTATGCAAATGCTCAGATACCATCACGACCTCCGAGTTTTGACATTAGTTGAACCTGCTTCACACCCAAGCCAGAAGTAATAATAAACATGTGCAGGAAAAAGGTCGTACCAATCTATACTTCCGTTGATTGGCAGGTTGATTATGAAAAACAATCAAGCACCAGGTTCAAGCACCTTTTGCTTAAAATTAGTGTGAGAGTGAAATGAGCAAGTAGCTAAAACTTGCTGAAGCGTAAAACCCAATGACCTACCCACGCCGCTATGCTCGCTTTATGTCACTTGAAAACGTAGCGATGAACACTGAAGAGTGTTACGTGAACCGGGTGTGGTTCACTAGGACAGAAAGCGACTTTTTCGCGTTTCGCAGCGCGAAACATTTTTCGCTGCGGGAACCTCAGGTCCACTGATGATCAGAGTGGACCTGAGGTTCCCGCAGCGAAAATGTTTCGCGCTGCGAAACGCGAAAAAGTCGCTTTCTGTCCTAGTGAACCACACCCATGAAGCCCTGCGGTGCTAACTTAGTTGGGGGGGGGGACCACGCGGCGGCGCGGCAGTTGCTCGCCTGGCATCTTTGCGTACTTCGGGAAATCCGTGAGCCAGGGGGAGTGTAGGGGGGGGTGGGGGGTGAGGGCAGTCACTTGACATGCGTGAAAAGCTGGAATGTTCGAGTTTACACTGTCTCGCTCGAGAGAGCCCAGGTGAGCAGACTGCCGCGCCGCCGCGTGGCCCCCCCAACTAAGTTAGCACCGTCGTGCCTCCCTAACACTAAGGACTAAAGCGCAGCAATACATGATGCGCTAGACGAAGCGGTTCGAATGGTATGAAGGAAAAGGTCATGTGGGTGAATCATTTTGTTTCAACCTAAAGGATGAGCAACCGCATTGTCTGTGAACCACTGATCTTGTGCAAAGATTGTATGAAATGGAGTATTCTGCTAGGATTCTATCTCAATGAGAGAGCGCAAAAGACAGCGCGAAAGTGAACGCCCACCCCAGACTTCATTTTCACCAAAGCTTCAAAACACGACAGTGCAGAATGGTTCGCATATGAAAGTAAGGAGCACCAACTTCCTCTACATAATTGATGTTCCGGGTTTGTGTGCATCTTCAAGCGAATTAGTGCAAATTCGCGTCTTCACCTGTGGGAACGCTCGAAGCGCTCATTCACACCATATTCAAACTCTGATGTGCCGAGCAACGTTCTTCCGTGATTGCTGGTGTCTATTTATTGGTGTGATTAGGATATGGGTGTAGAGTTAGTTGAGCTGGACACCTTGAATATGTGATTTACGGATTGAGGTAACGCTAACCTTTGAGGCCAAGCCGCAGGGTGAGAAGGACTCTGCGGCGCGTAGGCAGTTTCCATTTTCCTCGGAGTACCTCCTCTTTTTAGGCTCAGTGCTTACCGCGACCCCCGAAATTGAGGTGTCCCACCTGACTAACGTCACACCGGATATGTAATAATAACAAGTAGACACGTGCGGCCGAGCTAGTTTCTTAAACTTAGAAGGTTGCAGGGTTCAGAAACATTGAAAATGGATCTCTTTAACGACAAGAAGCGTGAACAACGTAAATTCAGAGAAAGTGAGTTTTTCCAATATGGTTCCTCGTAATGATTGAAATTATAAAATTTACGTATTCATGTGATGCTACTTTACTGAAAAGCTGAATGGTGACAAATTTTCGGCTATATTCCTCTTACTATTACTACTCGTAATTCGGCTTCGTGAAGTACCACAAAATCAGTGCGCAATGGTGCGGATGCTACGTAAAAATCTCGGGGCGTCTGCGAGACGGCGATCGCGACGCGGCTGTGTTACTGGAGCGCGCCAATCATCCACCAGTACTGTTTTTGTTTCGTGATCGCCGTTAGTTTTCACAGGGCGCTGTGGTTTAAATTATTTTCCCGCGCGCGCTGGTTTGAATGAAGCACAGCGCGCGCAGACGAATTAACACTTTGCGAAACTGTACTGCCAATGAATGGGCAATTGGGATGGAATTGCTGAGAATCACAAGAAACTAATGTCTATTTCAAGCAAATAAGGGGCTTATAAAGATCATAGGCATAAACTGTTTGAAGACAAAGCCAAAATAGTAACGGTATGCTTCTATGCTCAAAATTTTCTGTTCAAGACTTAAGCACTAACCCTACTATTCACCCGCAACTATCGAGCAATTGCTTATTATTAGCTTCTTCAAGTTGTGGTGGGAATTTATAGTTTTTTTTTCGGAGAGTGGATACCGTTGCTGGCTGGATGTTGCTTCGCATATATCACTTTGTAGCCTGTAATCCACAATGTATGTCGAGATATACCGGAGAGATACCTTGTTACAAGGACGAATGGACCTGGTGTGGATCTAGCTCTGATGAAAAAGCACAATAAAACAGCAATATTTTTCAAGCGTATGAACTCAGCACAAGCTATTTTTGCCTGTGGAACTAAATGTTATGACTCCAGTGAGGAACTTGGCTGTGAGGTAGAAAATGGAATCGGCACTATTGCACTATTACAACCCCAGTGGGGGTGAGATGGGTCAAAAAATAATTTTCGCTGAAACTTCTGCTATGGGGGTTATCGAGGGTCCTGATCACGAATATGACATCCATTTTTGGCGCTGGCGCCAATTGGCGCCACACTGATTATCACCAAATTCGCTGTAAACTTCTGTATAGGGGTTATTTGGGGCCCTGATCACGAATATGACACTCGTTTTTGACATTCGTGCTGTTTAACGCATATTTTCTGCTTTTCTAAGCTTTCTCACCTATAGCGCCTAGGACTAAGCTTAGGGGAGGGGAGTGAAACTCCGGAGTGGGTAAACCACGCACCGTGTGGCAAAAGTTGGAGTGTGTTAGACCACAAAGTGGCCTACTCACTTTGGAGCCCTACTATTCAAAGGCTTAGTCCTGATTGCGATCTAATTAGTGCGAGGGCGCAGACGAGCAGGAAATAGGCGCCGAATAGCGCCAACAACAAAAACGAATGTCATATTCGTAATCAGGACCCCAAATAACCCCTATACAGAAGTTTACAGCGAATTTAGTGGGAATCAGTCGTGGCACCACCTGGCGCCAAATGGCGCCAAAAATGAATATCATATTCGTTTAAGAAATGAATATTGCAACAGTGCCAAATCTGGAACAAAAGTGAGGGCATTTACAAATACAAGGGTAGTCATAGCAAAATGGAACATTTCCGAAAAAATTTCATTATCTGAAAACCGTGTTAGCCTGATAACACTATGATCCGTAGAATCCATAAAACCCAGTGCGCGATCTCAAGGGGGCTTCTCCAATGCTATGTGAGTTGAGCGTGTAACGGGCCAACCTGACTTCAGTGGCCGGGAAAACAACAAAAGGTAATGCGATTGTCACAAAATCGCTTCTATTGGCGAGGTTTGGCCCTTTTTTAAGATTCTGGCGTTGTAATATGGTCCCGAAATAAGTAGATAACAAAACTCGTCTTCCAGATCGTGGCGGGTCCGATTATCGACCGAGTTTCGCAAAATCAATAAATCCCTGCCAAAAAAACTTATTATGGGAGTGATTACATACGATTGAACTGATTTCTTACCTTCAGGTATGTTCGCAATCCGTCATCCCGAAGTTGCTGAGGAAGGCCTCAGCTCATACCGCGACAGCCGTTTCAAGGTAATCTTTGTACACTTATCGATCAATAAAGTTTGCCAGCTAATGTGGAAACTTCGCGAGATATCTTTTTTGTCAGTCGGTAGAACATAAAATCATTAACTCCCACGAAATCCTGGAATGAGCACCTCCAAGGTCGTTGGGAGAATAGGGAGACACATGGCATCACATCCGCAACAAGCATTTCCGTTACATACGTTTAGGGAAGCAATTCTCAAGCCCCAGGTGGTGGTGCGGCGCTCTGTCCTGTGACCAAAGAAGCGGTTGAGCCATGTGGTGCATGATGCAAAAAAAAATCATTGGCACTCTCACAGTAGCGCACTAAAGCCTGGGCCTATCATGAACTTTGGACTGCAGAAACAATTTCCATTTTCCAACGTTCTTCACATCTCAGGATTAGTCCTTGAGACTCTTGGCCATCGAGCTAGCATTTAGGACGCTCAGAAAGGAAAGGAACTGTGGGGTGGACGACTACTTCCTGATAAGAGGGTGATTAATCGGTTCACCTATATCGGATCCTTCCTTGTAAGGAAGAGCCACGGGGGCACTATAAAGAGGCTGGAGCTGTTCGAACCGTCAGAACATTTTTGAAGCAGGCGAAGACAGCGCTACGCTGGAAGTGGAATTTTTTCCTATAGGGGTAAGAATTACTTTTCTCAGCGCTTCCAAGAGAATTATATGTTTGTTGCGGTTTTGAGTGCCCCGATAGCACCCCACCTTGAGGATATGAACGTTTTCATTCCTATCATGTTTCTAATCTTTAAGGGTACAGAAGAAGGAATTTGAAGAAGCTCTCCGTAGGTCGACCACAGTGTATGTTGGAAATTTGTCGTTTTACACTTCCGAGGACCAGGTTGTTGTTCATTTTCATATAGACCTAATCTAGCACCAATAGTTAGCCTCATGCACGTTTCTAGCTATATGAACTGTTTATGCGTGCTGGAGACGTTAGGCGTGTGATAATGGGTCTTGACCGTTTCAAGAAAACACCGTGTGGATTTTGCTTCGTTGTGCGAGCGATTTCTTCACTTTATACTAGATTCTCAACAAAATAGTTGATTTGAAAATGTGCAGTTTCATTTCTTTATCCTTTAGATTCCATTTAGGACGTGCGGCACGGACACGGCTGCCGCCACTGGTGGTCGCGAGTAACCCGCCAACTGCAAGTGTCGCGGATGCGACTGTTGCCGCCGGGCGCACCGTGCGCCCCGGCCCATCCGCGCTCGGAGGCTAACCGCGCATTGCGCAGCGCATTGCGCCGTTGGCACGCCCCCTACGGTCGAGGCCAGTAGTCAGTCCTCTGCGTCTGTGACTGGCAGCCGGTGACTGGTCTGTCTTCACAGGGTAACGCGAGGAGGTTGCTCCAGGGCGAGGGGGGAACGTCTCCCTCCGAGCCTCAGGGTGACGGAGCGCCCGTCGCTAGCCGGCCAGCGTCCCTCCCCTGCTCCCCGTCTGGGAGCAGCCCGGTTGGTGACCCTTGCTAGGACGCTGTCGGCCGTATGGAGCCCCCGAGGATTGTACTCCGAGCAAGGACGGGGGCATAATACGTAGACAACGCGGAACGGAACCCACGAGGAAGGCGACCCAGGGGAGTCGACGATGTGGTGAGTTAGCCGTCATAATAAATATGTAAACTATCTTGTGTTTATTATTGTGTGTATGGCAAAATGCCTGTGTGCTTGTTGTGTGATGACCCTGTTTTGTTCTGAATGGTCACAGTAAGCTCTTCAACGTAAACAACTTTATATAACTATTAGCAACAGTGAATAACGAATTGGAATGCAATTAGAATAGATAGATTGAATATTGGTCGAAGTCGTGGAGCTGGAGAGTGACGGTGACTGGAGACGATGAACGGTGGTGGCGCGTTGACGGCGATAGTCGAATCCGAAGAGGAGAACCCCTTACTTGTGTTTTACTGGGCCTTTTATACGGTAGTTCCCGCGTCATTTTTTGCCAATGGCACGGTCGGTGGTCAAAACAGGACCACCCACCGTGATCGCCGGGCGGTCACCAGGGCCGTGTTTGACCAACATTTCTGACATGCCGGGGGGCAAAAAAAGTACATTGTGGCTCCACTCCACAATACCGAATCAGCTCATAATTCCTGCATCTTGTGCGTTGTGGCCCGGATCTTGTCCCTCAATCGATTCATCGCCCGTCTCCTGTGCTTACGAGCTACGCCAGGAAACCCAGCAGAGCTTTCCTTTGGAAGGGCCGGCGGTCCGGGCTCCCTCCTTTTGTGCGCTCGAAAAGTGGCCAACCGAAGCTCTTCTAATGTAAGCATGGGTTCCAACTGCAGTCTCGGGAACTGATAGAATGTGCGGGTACTTTCTTCGGACATCCATTCTTCTGCGTTTCTTAGTATTCCCACAGCGGCCCAAGCGGCCCGTGTATCCATAATGCCGATGCTCTGTTGCAGAACATCCACCACGAGCTGCGCACGTTAC